AAAGAGACCAAGTTTTGGACGTCTCACGACTTGCGTTGTCCGAATTCGACTGGAAGCATCCCGAATTCAGTAACAAGGGCATCGCTACTAGTAACAAGGGCATTACTACTAGGAGCAAGGACGCTACTAGGGGCGCTCCTGGCCTTACTAACAGGAACAAGAAGCTACTAGGAGCAAGGGCATCGCAAAGAAAAGGTCTAAAGTCCGAAAGAAAGCAACAAGAATGTTGCATGTGTTTGCCCTAGAGAATGGACTTCACTCTCCTCTACTACGAACAAGAATGCTTGTTTTCGTGTGCACTTTACTTCTTCGTGCTACTAAGCTTCTTGGAAATGAACCTTTCTGCCCTGAGGAAAAAGGCTAACAAGGAATACAATATTAACACACTATAGAAAAAAACATAAGAGGGGAGGAAACAAGAAGCTAAGGGTCCAGTTGAAATGGGTCTTATGAAATGGGCCCTTACTTTTCTTTTTCTCCCAAGAGAACACTTGTAGAAAGCGTCGAAGGCTGAACATTGATGGAAACTTCTAGCTCCTAGTAGCTTCTTGTTCCTGGTAGTAAGGCCAGGAGCGCCCCTAGTAGCGTCCTTGCTCCTAGTAGCCCACCAAGGTTTGCCAGGCCTTTGGCGTGGCTTTGTCCCTGGACTTTGTGTGGTGAGAATCTGAAATTCTTTCACAGAGCAAAGATTTGCAGCTGAAGAACCCAAAGAGATGTGCAAAGTTGAATAGACCCAATGAACCTTAGGTCATCCCCCGCAGGGGCTTTAAATTTGCCTTCCACTCAGATGCGGGCTGCGCCCTGGCAGTTGTAGCAGAAGTTGGCGAGGTCTTCTATGACGCTTTCATCTCCATCCTTTGGAAGGGAGAGAAGCAGAAGGTCCGGCATGTTTGGGAACAGAAGAGTCACATCCGGCTGTAAGACACGAAGATGAACCATGAACGTGCCCCAAGTGGCGGACCTAAAAGGACAGAGATCAAAATAGCTCAAAATGACAAAAAGGACTACGGTTGTTTGTATACACTGAGAGAGCGAATAATCGGACTCCCGACGCAAGAATCGCTGAACATCCAATTCTCTTACATGCTGTAACATTCTCTTGTTCTTGAGATCTCTTGTCTGGAGGCCGTCGCTATTAGGTTGGAGGCCATTTCTAGTAATTAAGTTGGAGGCCATCGCCATTATATTGGAGGCCATGGCTATCAGGTTGGAGGCCATAGCTATTAGGTTGGAGGCCATCGCTATTTGGTTGGAGGCCATCGCTATTGAGTTGGAGGCCATTACTTCTAATGTCAATCTTGATCTCAGGCTCCATTTCAGCACAGCCTCGTGGCCGGCGGATTGGCTGGAGCCTCTGAGGCAGTGACCTGACAAAATCGGACAAGTCGAAGTCAAACGTTTACTATGAGGCTGAAGAGATGTGGACTGAAGATTTTGTTCCGTGTTGTGCGTTTTTGCTGGGAGGCTTGCATAATCACCCCTTTGGAGTGTCTCAAAATTGGCATGCAGAGTGAAAAGGCGGGTTGTGAAGCCACAGCTGCGCGATGATTCCGTAGGGATAAAGCTTGCAGGCCGCTGGGTCTGCTGCGACGGGCATGGCCACCTTCGCCATGGCATGGAAGCACAGATGCAGCTACAGGATTCACATGGATGGACCATTGCTTATGTTTCAGCTCAAACGTAGATGTAAGGCCATGGTCAGAACTGGTGGTGTGGCATCCTTGTGCCAAAGTCAAATTTATGCTAGTTTTGAAGAGCTGCGCATTTCTTCTCACAGAAGAATTGTGATTCTGGTCAAAGTGGACAGGTATGCCGGGTTGGGCGCCACAGTGGCCAAGCACACAGCGCACTCTTGTGACAGCCCTAGGTTATTCACCACAAGTTGCTTCAGGATCCGTTCATTCCATGCCCTTTGTAAACCGTGCTTCTTAGGCTTTTACTTTGCAGCCTTCCACGAGACAAAAAAGTTTGCCCCGAAGGTGCCAATATCCTGCAGGAGACTGAATTTAACCTTAGAGGTCAAGCTGATTAGCGCCTTCTAAAGCTTTTGCTCCGCGGACCTCATGGATACTTTGATTGTGTGGTTCTTCAGTTTTCTATGTTTTGTCAGGGAAGCAGTCGATTTCAGCAGATTTGCTGGGTGAGGGTCCAAGTCTTTTCATCCTGCAATGAGACGTTTAAACGAACTTGGACTGACACAGTCAGAGCAAAGTCGAAGCGTCAGAGCTATATAACATATTTGCAAGAAACCTAATTGCGATGGCCTCCAATGGCGATGGCCTCCAACCTACTAGCGATGGCCTCCAACGTAATAGCAATGGTTTTGAGGGAAAGAACATGCCAAACGTTGGCTCTCAGATGCTCTCAGGATTTGCTCTCTGGCTTCATTGCAGGATGCGCCTAGGCTGCTTTTGCCCTTTTGACGTCACGAAGCTGAGCGATGCTGCGGATTGGCCCGAGGTGCCGCAGCCACGGCCAACAATCCCTTCGATGTGGTCAAAACACGGCAGCAGGCAAGGTTGAGAGGTGATTTGACGCGATGCCCATTTCGGAAGCAACATACATGATATACAACGATAGTGCTCTTAGAGTTTTTGGATTTTGGTCTGCACACCATAGCCATTCAGAGGTGGTCGCAGCGAGTGCCTTGTCCAGCCATGCTGCTGGTCAGGAGGGGGTTTTGAACGCGATATAATGCGATATATATATATAATATATAATATTTTTCAGGAGGAAGAAAGTTGGGCAACAACTTCACTCGAGAATGTCATTGACATCACTTCTCCTCCCCACTGGAATTCTGGCGGAATAGTTTCCACTCCGAACTAAATTAGAATACTAGTGGAAACTAGTCCGCCGGCATTCCATCGTGATCCCCTGTAGGATTCGAAGGGGAAAGGGTTGTACTGTAGCTTTTGTATTCACAAGTTGGTTACCAACTTTTGTCCTGGCTGTGTATCTATGTATAGGAACGTTTTTAAAGCATGTTAAACTGACTCTACTTACTAAACTGCGCTGTGTCAAGTCCGTCGTTTTGAACATGCAGTTCTTGAGGAATTTGCAACAGGGCCAACTTCAATTGGAGCCGTGGCTTTGGGGCTGATTCGGCAAGATGGGTGCATGCCCAAAAGGCTGAATGGCCTGGCAATGTTTTCTTATGTTTTCTTCCGTTTACTCTTATTTATTCTTATTTTGACAGCCTCATCAGCTTTCTGAGCTTGAGGCTCTCTGGACTCTACAAGGGCTATGTAGCGAAGGTCGGATGCACTTCCAAACCCTTAAGTCCTTGTGCAGCTTTCTGGGGAAGGTAGCTCGCCTTGGACCCGGATCAGCGCTCATCTTCTGCGTTTACGAGCAGGCTCGAGGGTTGCAACCAAGAACGCTACCATGAACTTGAAACCAACATTGGTATCAGAATGGCCAGGTCATGAGCCTTCTAAGTTGAGCGCCAGTACGAAAGTGGCGCTCGTGAGTCGGGGCTGATCAGGGTGGTAGTTGCAAAGATCTATTAATTAGGAGCGTCCTTGCTCCTAGTAGTAAGGCCAGGAGCCCCTAGTAGCGTCC